CAACATGGTTTGTGGGAACAAGTTGGTCTTAATACATATTTTGTTCTTGTCTTGTACGAAATTAGTCCTACAGACTATGAACACTTTTTTAAACTTCCTCGTACGAAATTGCATTGACTAGAAATTTAAAGAGGAACCTCACCATGCGATACAGTATGCACAACATCCTATTGAATGCAAATAAAGAGGGTTGAGTGGAATTAAAAAAAATTCAAAAAAGAGTGGATAATATTAATAAATTAGTAGGCTGAAGTGATTGCCATGAAAACAAACAAATTTACTTTCTTCCATTTTGTTTATCTTATAGCAACAAATTAATTTTTATTATTTTCTGGCCACTTCATGTTAAAACTAGAAAACAAGTCAATTTGGAGAATCTATATATGTTCTCATGAGATACTATATGTAGATCTACATTGATATAAATATAATAGCAGCCTCAGGCTAAAAAGTATGTGAGTGTGACGAATCAATAACCAATTTATTGGGGAAAAATTCTATTAGATACTTTACAATTTTTGTCATGTGAAAAATAATAAAAATTTTGAAGAGTAATAATGAAAGACTCTGAATTTTCTAAATCTTTAAAAAAGACAAATAGAATCAGTGAGGAAATAATTATGAATATATCAAGCGTGAAAGTGTATTTTAACTTGTACTTTCCTTCTATCCTTGAGAAATTAAGTTTGAGAATATTCGCAAGCTCCATAGGGCATCTGGTTCACTACATGAAATCCCATCAACGATGATAAACCCTATTTCACCGGAAAATCTGCAGCTGGATTAAACTCTTGAGCTAGATGCTAAGTAACCAACTCCCAATCTCAACGAATTAGCTGTCTAGCTTCGACAACAATACCATGATCAAAATTCTCAAAGCTAGGTTAAGTAGCAATAAGCTCCAAGCCTCCATGGAATCAGATTCTAGAATCACTCTCCTTGCGCCTATATCCCCAACCATTATGAATCCATGTAAACTTGCCCATAGCTCAGCTGAAAGACTATCTCCATTGTCTATGTGACAGAAGAACCCCGAGACAAACTGACCTAGAGAATTCCAAAGTAACATGGCCTTGTTATACTTTGATAATGTTTTGCTTTTAGCTCCTACAGTTTATTTTTGTTGTTAATTACTCATCCCTTTCATTTCATTAGTCTATAACATATTCCTTCAAATCCATAAGGATCAGGAGTTGGCCTCAACGATATTTATTTTGCTGACATAAACACACTGATAAATTATGTGACGATTTGAAAGAAACAGTTTGGACCATGGCCTACTGAACAGTGTTAATTCTTAATTCCTCCATCCTAAATGCAGAAGCTAATTGGGGTCAACTTTAGTTGACATCAATTCACTGTGTCTCCTATATTTATTATGTTTCCTAAACCATCTACACCCTCCATTTAAAAAATATAAGGCATTTTTAACCAAATCTCACCTCTGATAAATTAGCTAAGTGTATTTAAGCTTATACCATCTTTCTATATTTACTTTTATTTAATAAGGTGTTTTACTTCAAAATAAATGTAAAATGATTCATTTATTAAGGGCATTTTTCCAAAAATACACTAAGCACACATTGAAATATTAAGAATGCCTTACATTTTTAAATATTTAGCCCTTCATCTTTTTTAAGGAAGGGAGTATATTGATATTCTCTCAACCACAATATGAAAAGTAACAATAATTCCAATGCAACCATATATTTTACATAGGGGTATTTTAGGAAAAAAATGGCATATTTTTTACAATTTACTTATTGACTGTGTAAACTTTTTAATTTATACTCCTTTTAGTCCTGCTTATAAAGTAGAGATAATTTTTTTTGTATTATTTATAAGTTATATTATTAAATTGTTATCACAAGTTTTCCTTTATCCCTATTAAATGTTGGTGAGAGAAAATACTTTTTTTGTTCAATGTTATAAGAATTTTTTTTTTTGTAAGTATCATGTTAAAAGACACTACCTCTAGTCCAAAATATAAACATTTTTTTTAATTAATCTTAGTTCAAAATACAAGCATGTTTTTCCCATTTTACCATCTTATGGAAACAATATATATTTTCATGCGGCTAAGAATTGTATTGTATGTGGATTGTTGCTAAAAGGTGGATTTTGAACCAGAGGGATTATAAGATGGGATCAAGTAGACATTTCAGGTATTTTAAGGTGTAATTAATTAAAATTTTCTGAAATAATGCCCTTAATTAATGGGTGTCATAAATATGATTTTATTTGATTGAATTGGTGCAATATGACATGTTTTTATTGGATAGTCCATAGATGACATGATGTACTTAGTTTATCTAAATTTTTTTTTCAATTAACTAACTCATTAGGGGTATAATTTGATTAAAAGTGCCTTATAATACTAAACAAAGAAAGTATGTTATTAAATTTTTAAAAATTTAATAAGAGCAAAGTTAAAAATTTATGAAATTTTCAAACAAAGTTAATAAATTTTAAAATTTTCCTTATTTTTGTGAAATATTGAAAGTAATTTAAAACTAAAAAATAAAAAATACGGATTAGATAAGATAATTAATTTTAGGGAAAATGACAACTAGGGACCCCATAAGACCATTAATTACAATTAAAAGCCTTGAATTATTGAAACCTCAATAATGGACCATGGTCCTTACTTTGAATTAAAAACATGTGTTTAAAATCAAGTAAAGACACTACTAATGAGTTGATACTATTGTTAATTAGTATAAGTTGGAAAAACTATGAATCATATTTGGAAATGGGTTATTTCTCAATATGAAATTAAAATTCACTTGTAAAGCATTCAAAAAACACTTGTGAATATATGATAATCACTTGAAAACTTATTAAAGTCACTTTAGAATATAAAGCCAATTACTTGTGAATTTTCATGTTTATCAATATATATATGTAAACTATTTGAAAAATCAAGAAAATACTACTAAAATTATTATTATAGGTTGTGACTATTGTTAATCTTAATTGATAAAATTAAGATCACAAGTGTTATGAGTTGGGACTATTGTTAATTTCATTTCCAAGTATGGATTCCAGTTTTCCCAACTATTGTTAGGATGGTAAGTTTTATATTATCCACAATTTGGTTTTTCTAAATATATTATCAAAAATGACAAATTGTTTTTTGGTAAATAAAAAAATGATAATTTAATCACTCAAGAGAATCTAAAAATTTCGCCGCTATGCTAAGAAGAAATTCAATATATTTTTTTTAAAAAAATATTTATCAAATTGCCATGACTCAACCGCCGGGGTCCAGTCTCCCGTTTTGATGTGCCCCACCATTTACGTATAAAACGTTTAAAACTGTATCCCAAAATGCAGAAACGTTTTCAACTTCGATTTTTTTTTTTTTAGGGTTTGTAAATGAATCAAAGATGATCACTTGAATGGCGAACGGCTACCATGACTGTCGCGCTGTCATTATCAATTGAACATTCCATGAAATGTGTCATTTTTTATGTTGTTTCAATTTCATTATAATCACAATTGCAATTGCATTGTTGTTTTACTGTGGCACTTTTGTTTTGCTAAGACAAAACAAAATATTAACGTATTAGTAATCAGCTCTAAATTGTGGGGAAATAAAATTTGGATTTTTATTTAAAAAAATTGTTTTTGATTGTATTAATATAAGATGGCTAGATTCAAGTGGCGGAAACAGACATATTACATAAAGTGCCCACTGACATCCCTAATAGTGATATTGCATTCTCCAGTACTCAGCAGATAAATAATAACTTGAAGCTTCTATCCAAATTCAATCACTTGGGCAAAAGCAATTCTACAGATGAAGGAAAATGAAGCCCCCCTAAACCCGGATGGGTTAGACTCAACACTGACAGTTTTGTCAACATTAATGGTGCTGCAGCTTGTGGAGGCATCATCAAAGATGATAAGGGCAATTGGATTAAAAGTTTTTCCAAGTTCCTTGAATATCATCCTAGCACAGCAGTTGAACTCCTAAAAATATTTAAGGGACTTAAACTTTGCTGGAATACGAAACTATCAAGAATCAATATTTACTCTGATTCGATAGAGGCGTTGTCACTCATTAACCGTACCTACTCTGACAATCACCCGTATTATGACATTATCAGGAAGATCAAAGACTTTGTTATGAAGGATTGGATAGTCACCTTTGACTATGTCCATAGAGAAGTAAATTGATGTGCTGATCTCTTAGTTCACCAGCCTCCGTATGATGCCTTTAATATTATGATTTTTGATGAGCCACCACATGATTATATAAACCTCATGGTTTTAGATATGATTAGACTTTAGTTTTTTGCACGGTTTTACCGTGACCTTGTAATTAAAAAAAAAAAGTGCCCACTGTTTTCATAATTCCTCTCTCTCTCTCTCTCTCTTCCCATGATTCCGGGATCCCATATAGTCCGAGAATAGATGTTTCCCCAGTGTCACATATCTCACGCGCTACAAACTCGCTCTCTCTAATTGACATGTGTCACTTTCAGTCTATCGCGGGAGTTCCGGTGCTTCTCCGATTGTCCACCTTAGCACAGTAGGCGTCTAGTCGAGCGTTTAGTCCCATACAAGAACCTACCCAAAAAAAAAAAAAACAACAACAACAACAGGAACAATTACTACTAACCAGTTTTCCTCTTTTTTTGAGGAAAAAAATAATTTAAAGACTAACAAAATAAATTAAAAGCCACTACAGGCTTTCCATATAAAGTATTCGAACTTCATTATTCATATAAAGCCTCTCTAAGTAACCAGAACCTCCCCACCCCCCCAAAAAAAAAAAAATCTCCTCCTCCCTCTTCTTCTTCAACTTCTTCCGCCAACTCCAACAATTTTTCTGTAAGTTCCAGTTTCTGAGACGTACATGCTTTACCGATTAAGATTTTCTTTGTTCTTTTGTGTGTTAATTAATTTCTTCTATGAATATATAGAAGCTTTTATTTACTGATTTTGTTGTGTGGTTGATCTGCAAGGAGAAGCTGTGAAGAAGCCCTAGAAGAATGGGAAGAGGGAAGATTGTGATTAAGAGGATTGACGATTCAACAAGCAGGCAAGTGATTTTCTCAAAGAGAAGAAATGGATTGCTCAAGAAAGCAAGAGAGCTTTCGATTCTCTGCGACGCACAAGTTGGAGTCATTTTGTTCTCCAGCACAGGCAAACTCTATGAATATGGAAGCTCCAGGTATACATGCCTGCTTCCTAATTTCATTATTCTTTTTGATTTGTTTTATCAGAAACTAGAATATCATTTTCTTATTGACAACACCACCTCTGTGACTTGTGAATTTGAGGTCCAAGATTTGAATCCTGCATTGGCTTGTGTGTGTGAATTGTAAATGTTGAATTGATTAATTGAAAGAAGAAGAACAGCATTTGCTGGGGAGCTCTTGATCTGAATAATGTCTTTTCAGCCTTCAGGCTTCTCTTTTTTCATTTTACTGGAAGAAAAACTATCTTGAATCTGATATTCCGTCAGGCACTGGGATTAAAATCTTTTTTTATTTGTATATATAACATCTTTTAACATACATAATATACCGCAAGAGAATCTGTGAGATTATTGTAATTGATGCATAGTTGTATATGTTTCTGCTGATTTTACGTGCTCGTTTGGGTTTGATATAGATCCACGCATGCAAGAGTGTTTGCGTGATGTTATTTTTTCTGAATTGCAATAATCTGAGTCAGTTTTATGAAATAATATCGTCTTTCTTCTTCTTGTTCATCTTATTTTCTCCAACCTCTTGTTTTTGGCCCTTTCGTTCACTCTTAATTTGAACCAATAATCTCTTAGTTTTCATGCTTTAATTAAATTATATGCAATTCAAATCCTTCACTAGCTTGCCTACTTAACTCACTGATTGACAGATACATTTTCTTTGTTTTTTTGTTTGGTAAACACAGAAACACTTTCTTTAGAAGGACTCTTAGAATTCTTCACAGTCTTTGTTGTAAAGCTCTTCACAGTCATCTCGTTTTCTCTCTTCTCCTTACAAACTTCACAATAATTAAAAAAACCTTAAATATTCAGCTCAAAAATATTGGAAATGAGCTGAACTAGTTATGATGATCAATGGATTGTGGATATATAGTCTTTCTTTCATTGTTCGAGATGAGATCATGCTATATAAAGTAATTAAACAAAAAATATATACCTTCTAAGTTATCTGCACTGCAGATCAGTGATTACACACACAAACACACGCATGCGTAGAGATTTTGCACACATATAGAATGATTCATTGATTATGGTTGGTTTTTTCAATTTATGATAATTATTTGGCGATATTGGAATGTAATAGAACTGGGCAATTTATAACATTTGACATAGCATATCAATAAAGATTGGATTGGCATACAACTGAGATGTACTTGAAGGAATAACTGTTATGACAATAATATTGACAGTTAATTTAAAATCTTCAGAATATATAGTTTATATTTTTCTAAATAGAAGAACAAATATTATTTATAAATAGAAATTTAATCTTTTCTATTAGAAAGAATGATAGAGATGTCCAAAAGGACTAATTAATTTAAGTTAAATTTCAAGTGTCAAATTTTAGAAATTTGCAAATCAATCTCTTAATTTTGTAATTCCATTGTGATAAATTTGTAACTTATATTCTAAATTTTAGCAAGAAAAATAATTTTTTTTATTCTTCAACTATATTAAAATTTGAAAAATAAATTATAAATTAATCACAATATAGTTGCAAAATTGAGAGATGGACTTTCAAATTTTTGAAATTTGGCACTTGGGACCTAACTTGAATTAAGGACCTCTTTGTCATTTTTCCTTTCTGTTAACATATGCTAAATTAAAATTTGAGAAGAAAATTAGATTCCCCAAATTTAAAAAGAGCTGGTTTTAATAACACCCCCCCACACACACAAACATTAACTTATCTTCCTTATACAAACAGAATCATCTAACCTAGATTCTAGATTCTTAATTATGCTTGTACAATATGCAAATAAAACTATATATCACTGCGCTCATGTGTTTAATTCAATTAATCAATCCTAAAACAAATATAAGGATTAATTGGATGCTAACTAAAAAGATTAGCTCGCTATTCTTGAAAATGACCTGTTGGTCTTTATATAGAGACAGAAAAGAATTGAAAATATAACGTTAGGTAAAATTAGGGGGGATTGATCAAAGCCGAAGCATTTTTTCCAGATGCATGTTAATTGCCATTTTATGGTGCTTTTCAATTTTTATGACAGATATAAATATATTTTAAACCATGTAAGTTAAAATACATCATCATATATATATATATATATATTGTGTTCGTATAACTATAAACTCTGGGTAATTAAATAATTTGAAATAAAACTTAATTATGGTTCATCAAATTTTCAATGAGATTATAATGCGTACGAATTTTTTTTTTAAAAAATTAATGATCACGTTAAAATATAGTCAAACCGTAATGTTTCAAAAGTTCAATTAGTATTTTTTTTTTGCCACAAATTTCAATTAGTCTAGTATAACCATTTATAAATTTCAAAATTCATAAATGCACTCATTTTGAAGTTCAACTTCTTCCCCTACAAAAGATTACCTTCAATAAAAGGAAACCTGCACGCAATTAAAAAAAATTGGATTGTATCTTGAAATTTTGGTATGCGATTATGCTACATCACTACTTTACAATTTTCTGTATGATTGCATGGATTGGCATGTTGTCAAGGATTCTAGGGCTTGCATCCTCAACATATAAGGATATATTTTATATCATGTATTCAATTTACCATGTCCAAAGACTGAAACTGCATAACAACTAGGGTTATTCGGTTACATTAGATTAAAAAGACAAAAAAACATCAGTTATTGTTTTTTTTTTTTTTCATTTTACTAATTGACTCTCCGTTTATGTCAGCATGAAATCTCCTATTGAGCGCTACAACAAAGTAAAACTCGAACACCATCAGCATATGAATCCTGAATCGGAAGTCAAGGTACGTACTACACACCACATACAATTCTTCAAGCAACTTACAATATTTCTTCATGTAAGTCTTATAAACATACATTAGTAAAGCATGATTCTAATATATATATATATATATATAGTCAGTATACACTTGTTATCCAAGCAGAATTATTATAAAACATCTCAAATACACTACAACAAAGAAGATTTAGTTGTGCTTTCATTTCGGCTTAGCCCTGGTTGATTTTAAATCACTGAAATTTTAACTTGATCCACCGCCAAGTTTAGTGAACACTAATTCATGAAGGGGTGTGTGTGTGTGTGTGTGTGTGTGTTAGCATATAAAGGTAAATAGCCAAACAATTATTTCCTCATTTGGCAAAGATATGAAGCACCAAGTGCCATATATATATATATATGCATGGTCTAGTGATATTAATTAACACTAACATGTCTTTTGATATGAGAAAAATTTATATATAGTTGTAAATTTTTCCCAAGATTGAGATAAACCAAGTGAAACTAATGTTCTTTCCAGTTTCCTCTTACGTCGATGAATGATAGGATCAAGGTGCTAAAATGTCCACATGATTAAATTAATGTCAGGAAGCAAAGGTGAGGAATAAAATCTCGATAACTAAGAGTATATCCCAAGCCCTAGACACAAATTCACAGAGAAATTGGAGAGACAACTCTCACTTTAAGAAAATATTCAAATTCTGATTCTTGGATGATCATACGAAGAAATGAAACGCCTATTTATATTCATGCTAAAGGGATATTTTCATCCTAAATCAAAGCATTCAAGATAGGTTATGGAGTTTAATTACTCATTAACTGCGGGGGTTGCTATCTATTATTGTGGAACATATTACTATATATGAGACAACTCTCTCATTCTGAAAATATTCTCACAGTAGTACTAATCACAGTTTTTGTGGTCAAGCATTCAACTTCATATGAAAGAACCATTCAACTTCATATGAAAGAACCAAGGGTTTCCTCACAGAACATCTCATCTCTTTGTGAAACTCATTTCTCTATATTAATTAGGTGGATATTTCTTTTTGGTAACTTTACGTAGAGATTTTCTTTTTCAACTTTAATTTATCTCAATTATTGACAGGCTATGATGGAATGTCTAGCAGTGATGTGTGAAGCTTGATAGGAATGAAAAATTCAAGTGTCTAGTGACGTGTTCAAGTAATAGGCATTGTGTTTTATTGGTTGTTAGATGCTTGATTCTTGTTGATCGTAAGAAATCCTAAGTTCTGGATTTTGGGATTCTTGGTTAAAATGATGTGTTTTGGTGTGCGAAGGGATGTAATGGCACAATTGAACTTGAACTTGAAGAGGGCTCTTAAAACCTACTGAGGCTTTCTTAGGTTAGTTGAGACCTACTTGATTGATGAATAAGGCTTGTTTCTCATAATAGCCTTGTTGATTGATTGATGTTGTGTCAATAATCATTTGTGGTGAAAACTATTTTCAGTAGCTATCATGCGATAGTGAAAACTATTGTTCTTGCATTTGCATGTGATTGTGTTAATATCATATCATAACTCCCAATTGTTCTTATAGTTTATAATTTCAATGCCCATTCAGTGAGGCACTTGGTTGGTTCTCAAAGTTATAGCATGAGTATTTCATTGCATAGAAATATATAACCCTTTATACCAAGTGGTATTACCATATCCCTTGTACTTGTACATGAGGCCTTGTGAGGGTGTTGGGGGTTGAATTTTGTTGCTCATCATAGTGATGAGATTTGAGTCATACAGAACTTATTTTAACAATTTATATTTAAAATTCTTAACATACAATTTGTTATAAAAATTTATTATTTTTTGGCAAAGTGGCAGTTATATAAAAATAAAATTATATTAAAGATGAACTGTCTAATTTTGATTTGGATGGTCCAAGGTTGGTGCTTATCACCAAAAGTGATGGGCATTGAAATTGGTTTGATTATGTTGCCAGAGTTGGAACCATGATGTAGGGGCCTTCAAACTGGTTTGATTATATATGTCATCCATGGTCTATCTAATAAAATTGCACCAATTTAATCAAATAAAATTTTATGTGTCATTATTTTTACTGATTTTATTTTTATAATAAAATGCCTATTTAATTTGTTGCATTTTCTATTTTTACTATCATTGATATCAAAATTAACTTATATTTAAATGCAATTTGAATGTCATATTTTTATTGGATGGATCATGAATGATGTGGTGCACCAAGCTTATCTAAGAACTTCTCTAGATTAAGGAACCCTATAAATGTAGGGAGTTGTAACACTAAAAATCACCAAGGGCATGTGTTGATAACACCTAAAGACACCTTTAGAAGAAAATGAAACCAAAGAAAGTATTAGTTCATGAAAACCCTGTTACTCTTGATGAAAAAGTCCATTGATTAAATAGCAATAATGGTTCATGAAACACCATGAGAATATGCCTTTTTATTGAAGAGTTGTGTTATGTCAAGAAACACCACTTCATTGTTTATTAATAGCCCTTACCACAACTACATTCACACTCAAGAATTTATTATCTTTAACTTTGACCAAAGGAAAATTATCAATTTGTAAAAACTATTATTATCTTGACTTAAAAGGAGTTTTGGGAGAGCAAACCATGTTAAAAGGTCTTAATTGTATTCTAAAAGAAATTCGTCAACAACCCAAATTGCACAAAGTTTGAAATAGGAGCGGCTAATGAAACCTAAAGGAAAGTGCTACCCACCTTTTGAAGACGTGCACACATCTTTCTTCTTCATTTCCTTTTCATCTACTCTTCAAAGGACAATTACCTCCAGCTACTATAATACTGTAACATTAAAACTGAAAAAATCAAGACTTTATTTTAACTCTCTTTTTACCTTCTTATTATTGACGACCATTGTAGGTCATTTGACTGGGTAAATTTTATTAGGTAGATTGTCTAGTGGAAATTCTCCTATATATATATATCATTATTTGGATTGTTTAAAATATGAAAGCCTGAAGCATTTTGTAAAATAGCTAAATGATCAAGACAAGAAAATAAAATGTCAAAAGGAATTCTCAAATATTGACTACGAAGGCGAAAGATGTCAAATATTTATATGCAGGTTGACATTCAACCCCAAGAAAAATGCAGGTTCACTAGTAATGATGAATTACTTGTAATTACGTACTGTCAAAAGTTTATTAATGTTATATGCTAAGAATTCGTTTCTTCTTACTGCACTTGCATGACTCTTTATTTGATATAATATTTATAAACTATATTAATTTATTTGATATATGTGTTTGGACTGGCAGTTTTGGCAGAGAGAATTGATAGTATTGAGGCAACAACTGCAACACTTGCAAGAATGCCAGAGGTAAGTAATTAATTTCAACCGCCCAACAGTCACAAATCTGTATAATTAATATGAAAATCGCAAAACCTGGAATAATAAGCATCGACATGCATCGGTGACAAAATGTGGAACTAAACAAATGCAATTAAGAAAAAAAAAGCAATATAAGCAATATATATAGTTTTGGAGAGGTATATATATATATATATAATATAAGCAATATATATAAATTAAACGCCCCTTCCTAATCTGTATTTAATTTTCAGGTTTCATTCCGAGAACCCATGTCTCAAGGAAACGGAAACAACTCACCACAGATGTCAAGCTGAAGGTAAACGATCAACATATATTCCATTTAATCCGATCTATATATATATATATATAGTACCAGATATATATGAGACAATTGCTCGCTGATTAATTTCAATCTTTTGTCCTTCTATGAGATTGTACACAGACTAGAGGGTAAAGTGGCTCTTGCGGCTGGAGCAGAAAGTGGGATAGGCGAAGCAACAGTGAGGCTATTCGCTCATCATGGAGCCTTGGTCGTAGCAGCAGATATTCAAGACGAACTTTGCCATGAAGCCGTAGCTTCCATAGCCTCAAACACAGTGACTTATCATCACTGTGATGTGACAGACGAAACCCAGGTGGAAGAAACAGTGAACTTCACTCTGCACAAATATGGAACCCTAGACATCCTCTTCAGTAACGCAGGAATATTAGGTCCCTTGTCCGGCATCCTCGACCTCGATCTCCACGAATTCGACACCAACATGGCCATTAACGTCCGAGGCATGGTTGCGACAATCAAGCACGCTGCTCGTGTTATGGTGGAAAGGAAAATACGAGGATCAATCATATGCACTACGAGCTTGGCTGCTTCCATTGGAGGGTCTGGTCCTCATGCTTATACGACATCCAAGCATGGTCTTCTTGGACTGGTACGATCTGTGTGTGGTGAACTCGGTGAGTATGGGATTCGGGTGAACTGTGTGTCGCCGGCGGCAGTTGCTACGCCTCTTGTGTGTTCGGTGTTTAATGTTAAAGCTCATCAAGTTGAAGATGCGTCTTCGAAGTCTAATCTTAAAGGGGTTGTGTTGAAAGCGAAGCATGTTGCAGAAGCAGCTTTTTTTCTTGCTTCTGATAAGTCTGTTTATATCAGTGGACACAACTTGGTGGAAGAAGGTGGCATCTCTATAGTTAAAAATATTTTTTCTAAGGATTAATGGGTTCATGGTGAATCATGTAATATATATACTCCTTTCCCACCTAGTCATTTTTAACTAATTCACCAAATAAAATTGTCTTAAAATTAAACCATTTTTTATTTTTTTTCCTTAAATTTAAATGTAAGTGATTTAAAAGATTTTTATTGAGAATTAAATCGAAATTATGCATCAAAAATTGCATAAAACAAAAGAAAGTGACTCGTATTAAAGAGCAAATGATAATATAGAAGTTGACTAACAAAAAGTAGAGGGAGTAACAGTGATGTCATCAATAGAATTTAAGACCTTAGCTTGCGTGCCTGATCCTTCATCTTGGTCGTTAATAATAATTAAGAAATTTTATTTTGTTTTTATTTTTTTCTTTTTTGGTGAAAGGTTAATTATATTAACAAAAGAAGAAAAGAAAGCATTAAAACAGGTTTACTAAAATAAAAAGAAAAGGCAGGAAAAAGACAAAGGCAGAGCCACATTTCTAGATGATACAGCTGTTAAAGTTTTGCAGCAGCCTTGAGATGTCTTAATCAACGAGGTGCTGTCAAATAGTGCCGAAACAAACTCCCTTGTTATATCAGATGTTCAAATTCTCTAAGCAAACTCGCCAAATGATTCAAAGAGAAGCTTTTGATCCAAAATAAGAGGTTGCAAACACAGAAAACCAAGAAGAGATGTGTGGAGATAGTTTCGAATTTGCAGAAAAGCAGTTCGATCCATCCTTGACGGTTGAGTGCTAGAGAAACATTACTGTACGTTCTCTTTCTTCTCTTGAAAGTAGTAAATTGAATTTCCCAGCTTAGAAGAAGAAATTGGTTGTCAGTGTCAACATAAAAAAAGTGAAGATCTTTCTTTTGTGACCCTGTAGTTGATATCTGTCTTTGAATTACGTTCATCATCGCATCTGCATGCACCTTTTAAAAATAGAAATTGTTCATTGAGGTGCCGACTAACTTGCTTAGCCGGGGAAATCTATGCAGAGCTTAAGGGGAGATATCATAAAAATTGCTTACTATGCCAATTATTTCTGTGCCACTAGTTGAATGTGCAACCATACTAATAGAAAACTAATTTTTACTACTTTACAATTCAACCCTTTAACTTTGAGAATATTCTTTTTTTTTTTTCTTTTTGGGTGCATGTTACATAACTTTGAGAACATTCTATCCGCATGCAAAACCATAATTTAATCTAATAGAATTCGGTAGCGTGTGTTGAGAACCCAAGCCCAAAAGCTAGCCCATTAGATTTGGATGCCGGACTATGTCCTATGTCTCATGTTACCAAGAACCCTTTCCTATTAATTGGTATAAAACCATTTTTTTTTAACCTTCAATTACACGTTTATAAACATATGATTTGGTATATTATGAAATACAACATCAAGTCCACATACTTTGATTTCATTTTTGTTTTTAATTTCTATAGTTTTATTTTATTGTTCTCAATTTCTTTATTAGTTTAATCTATTTCTAATATTAATCCACATAATTTTAAAAATGCATATGAGGATCATGAGCTTGCATGAAAAGAGTTAATTTCAGTGACATGTACTTAACTCTTTTAACCCTTTTGCTAAAGTAAAATTAATCACACATTTGTCTTCAGCCAAATATAAAAGAAAGCTTTTTTCCCTTTTACTTTTTATTTGTAATCCAACCTAGTCAATTTATTTCCATGTCAGCATAATTTTATCATGCCAACAAAATAATTAACAGAATCACAGCAAAATTAGTTATGTCAATTTCAGCTCACGGTTTTTACGTACACTTTTAAAACTTCAGGGACTAGCATTGCAAACGAATCAAATAAAAAAATAAAATTATAGGAACTTAAAATAAAATGCAATCAAAGTACAGAGATCTAATGTTATACTTTCCTTTATATATTTTATGGAATTGAAGACAAAAGGTATAGTATTTAAGACTCATAAATAATATTATTTATTATAGGGGCTTTTGCATAGATAACCCATTTTATAGAATCAAACCCAATAAACAACCTAACATTTGTTATATTTTGCATAATGGCCATTTTAATATTTAATTGAGTTTTATATGACAAAACTATTCTATCTGCAAATAATATGACCTTCTTTCAAATACTTTTTCTTTTAGACAAAAACTCTTTTAAATACTTGAAGAAAAAAGACACATCCCCATATATACAAAGATTAAATGATATTGATAAGTTTTCATTGAAATGGCTTATCAGTAATATACTATTGTAGATTAGAAACATGAAAAAAATATAATTATTTGTTCAAAATAGATCAAATACAGTCCATAAAAAATTTTGGCCATCTGGCCATCTTAGCTTATTACAGACAATTAATTAAATACCTAAACTAATAAATCCCATTTTCCATCATAAGAAATGGCAAAATTAAGCATCCACATATCTACAGATTAAATAATGTTGATAAGTTTTCACTAATATGGTTTACTAGTAATACTATCATGGATCATAAACATGAAAAAAGCATAATCATTTGTCCAAAACAGATCAAACAAATGCCATAAAAAATTCTAGACATCTTAGCTCATCTGAGTTTACATTCATCTTTGTACAAGGAAGCCTAGCAATGAGACTCTTTTACAGAGTCACAAAATTAAACCACTCATGTTGAGATGTCTCTTGCAAAAGAGTGCACTTATTATGATAACAAAAAAGTAATATGTGAATTGTCACGCCCCAAAAATAGAGGGTGACTGGCACGGGTGTAAACCACTCACACATTCCTGTAAGCCTTAGAATGAACATTTATTTCATTTTATAAAAGAAAATAAAAAATTAATCAAATTACATGAGAATTAAAATAATTCATTTAAACTCATTATCATAAGAAAATGTCAACATTTTTGTAGAAATTTTCGAAGAACCTTCTCTGTAACTAGGATCTCCCAAAAATTTTACAACATAAATTTTTACAGATAGCAGTATAAATCAATAGCGTAGCTCCTTCTAGCCAACAACCAGTATACAAACCAAAATAAAGTCTATCAACAATCTATGTGGAGTATCTACTCTTTTTTTTTTTAAATCAAAAAGACATATAAATTATATATTTACATTAAAAGCAATTGTACCAACCAAAAGTTTCCACCCAATGTAGCTATTTTGCCCTTTAGAGGTCGATGGTGGGATTGGCATCAGCTAAAAAATCTGAGGCCAAAAATAATTTTTTTCCAGTGAATAGCATTCCCATGGTAAAATTCTTAAAATTTAAATTAACAAACTCTAATAATGGTGTCAACTAATTCCAAGTAATTCCACAAAAATTTATAAGCCTGTAACTCATAACTATATTTGTAAAGTAAGAGTAAATTGAAAACAATTAATGTTATTATGCTTAAAGAAAACAATTTGCTCACATATAACTCAAGTGGTACAAATTACTAGCCAAAATCATGTAAATTTTGAAAACACATATTAATCAACAAAATTTTGAAAACTCAACAGAACATATTACAAATGTGGACACACAGTCTACGAGGGTAAATAACCAAACATGGCTTATGTCACGAAAACAAACGTGGACACACTAGTCCACGAGGGTAAATAACCAAATGTAGCTTAGGTCATGGAATTAAACGGAGGTACAAAGCCCACGAATACCAAACGTGAGAATAAAACTCACGAAACAAACTAGCTAGTGTTTAACCAAAGCGCTACGGGCTAATGGAACTACCATTAGTAGCAGTGTTCTGTTTCAAGTTTTCTTAAAATTATGCTTCAAACATGCGAGAAAAAACAATTATCATTGAAATAAATTATCATTCTTACTGCCAAACTTGCATGAATTGTTTCAAATCTCAACATTTGTCAAAATCATAAACTTGCCTTAATTAAGTATCCAATAAATTTTAAAGTTTAACAACCATACAAGAATGCTTTCATCAATCTTGAAAATATATTTTCAATAATCAATAAATACACATATCATAACTCATTTGTCCTTCGTTGATATTTCATAATTTTTAAAATTAATATAATTCATAAGAATAAAATATTTCAAGAAAAGGCTATTAAAAATAAAAATAAATTAAATGGAATGCTATTCACTTACTTGTCAGAACTTAAAATTCTCAATGATATCTTTTCTTTTAATTCTGATCAGGGTCCCGTTCTTCCTCACACCCTATTAGGATGTAAATAAAAAATTTCATAGATTCCCAGTCTTTAGTACAATTCCAAATTAACCATCATCATCTAGAATTCAAAGCCAAATTTATGATTTAAAATCGGTCCAAGTGTTATCACTAATTCAATTACTTTCCTTGATTATACAACTACAATATCCATTTAATTTTAAACCCTCCCTTCTATGTATGCACATGTAATCACTAGGAAGGATGGATTTCTAAAATTTCAACCCTCAACCCACATGTACCATATATTGTCACTAAGTTCAGATGGGTTTCTAGCTTAAATTTTAGTCTTCTCCTCTTTACATAACAGTATAGGCAACAGCAGAAAAATATGAAGTTTCTATGACTACACATAATCGAGCAGTAATAGCAACACACACACCTAGCACTTATATTCTCAAGCACAGCAACAGAAGCCTACGTCTACAACCTGACAAAATTAATGATACAAAGATTGAAACTCCTCACCTCAACTTGACTGACCTAGACAGCAACGGATAGCAAAGGAGGGAGAAGAAGGTCGTTAAATACTAAATAGAGGAGAAAACTGACGCTGCCACACATTATGGAAGGAGAAAAATGAAACTTACAGTAGAACAAGGGATGTATGCCAATCTCCACTCACCAGAAGGAAGAGAACCGAATCAGCTGAGACAACCCAGCCCTTGAAATCACATCAACTTCTCCAGCGACTTAGCTTCTCACTCTGATAGTAGACCAAACTTGAACGACACAACCAAAATAGCAGACGGAAAAGAAAAAAACAGAGACAGCAAATATGACAGTGAACCTCTTGGATGTTTTAGAGCTGCAACATCCTCCACTCTTATTGGCGGCCACCAAAAATAAGAAAGG